TATAGAGCTAGTGGTGACATTGGTTTACATGTATAAAGGACAAGGGTTTTTGGACTTAATATATATATGCCTCTCATGGCTGACAAGGGGAAATAAGCTACTTTATATATTACCTTCACCGCTGACTCCGCCGCCAGCACCACCACTACCACCACCACTCAAATTCCCTCGAGAATTAAAAGAGTTATAGAAATTCCATTGACGATCAGCATAAGGATTAGGAAAAGGAGGTGGTGGCTGGTACAATCCACCAATACTCTTTGCAGAAAAATGATCGATGGTTCTATGCTGTGAAGTAGCTGGCTGAATCGAACTCAAATGAGGCATGACAGGCATAGCATTACGCGCATATCGCATCAAATCAGCGTTTGCAGCATCTAGATCCTTTTGAAGGCCATCAATTTGTCTTTGGAGGATGGAGATGATTCCTACACATCCGTAAACAGGATCTCTTACCCGGGCTTCGGCTTCATATGAAAGAGAATTCACCACATCTTCTCTCTGGTGTGGTTGGACTTCGCTGAGAAGCTTCGTGACGTTGCTGGCACCAAAGAGTTTGTGAACGTTTACGAATTTTTGTGGATCCTCCGGTGGAAAATAAGGTGCAAAGGTGCAGCCAGGCATGCATTTTCTCCTCAGGAACTTGCACGCAGCACAAGGAGAGTTACAAGAACTTGATGAAGCCATTATAAACCTATTAATTTAGCTGCAAATTAATTTAGAACATAGTAGTAATTAAAGAAACCCAAGTTGTAGTTATGCATGCGATTTAACCTTAGAATTACGCTAAACAAGCTTCACTGATCTTGTCTATCTTAAATCGTTAAACTTTGTTAATAGCACTTCTTGCATATGGATCATTTAATTTGATTTGTAGATGCGATTGCTCGCCTTTCTAATTTGAGCTTATTAATTTCTAGCTTCACTATGAATAAACACACCCCTTTGGAAATTCTCTTAGACCACATGGATTCTCCAGATCTGTATTATATTAATGAAATCACAACGATTTGACTATTTACTGTTACTTGTCGTTGTCTTTAATTTGCAGCCACACATGCCATGCAGCTAGGTCTAATGAATCACTGCTCTCATATATGCAGAATTATTGTTCTTGAATTACTGCGTATGCATCAATACACGAGCTTAACAATTGTCAGGGAAAAAAAAACTATCTTCGCTGCATTTTCTTGCATACATCCATGACGCAATGGAACTGATGGACTCTGCCAATCTTTTGACAGATGATCTGATCTTAGAACTCAATATCACAAGTCATTAGAAAGATCTACTTATATCAGGTCTAGATCTCTTAACAGACACTGAATTTATAGAGTAGTTTTGATGGGATCTGGTGGGTTATGAACATATATCTATATATGCATATCATACAAGTGGGAAACCCTTTTTTTAACAGCACAAGTGGAAAACCCTACACATCAGAAAAGCACGGCGTAACGCCAGAGCACCAGAAGCTTATGGTTTAATGTATGGCTATGGCTAGACTTTTACTTTAAAAGGGAATTACCTTTAAAGAAAAAAAATATGTGATTGATGTGAGTGTACATATGTTTGCTTTTGTAGGTTATATATGTATATATGGGGTTCTTTGATCAGAGAACAAGATGAACATGTCATTGAGTTCATTAATGGAAAAGACATGTACCTTTTTGTTTTGCTGATTATTGATCAACTCTTTGCAGATTATTCCTTATTTACCTGCCATCATATCAAGATTTCCTTGGACTTCAACCTATATATAGAACTACTGAAACCCTAATTTGAGGAGAGAGAGAGAGAGAGCGCCCTGCAAATCAATGGGAAGCTCGCAAAAGGTAATAGAGAGGAACAAATTAAAAGGCATTTAATTAGTGGATGTCATAAAGGAGTTTACTGAAGCCAAAAGACAAAATGTAATCAATCTAAAATAAGCGGTGTACAGTGAAAAACTATACTTTTTTTTGGACAGATTGTTCATTCTATCATTTTAAATTAAATTTCTGGAGAAGTTTTATTAATTATGAAAATTATAAGTGGAGGCTGTTGAACATGATATATTATTGACCTTTTAGATGCCGACTGTTACATGGGGACTTCGCTAAGCAGAACTAAACAAATTGTTTGTGTTGCCTTTGTTAAAGATAGGACAAGTTGGTAAATTAGCATATGGATTGACGGATAATCGATACACAAAATTTTACAAGGAAATAAGTTGTTAATACTTTTTAATCATATGAAGAAAGAAAAGTTATGGTTGCACTAGAAAAGTCATGGTTGCACTAGAAAAAACTCATTTATAAACGCAGTTTCCGTCATAAAATCGTTAATAAACCGAAACACTTACACTAAATTCACAATTATCAGACTTTATAAAGGATTGTCAATGGATTCGTGACGGATTTGTAACGGATTTCCAACAGATTTGTAACAGATTTTGACGAATTTTCACTAAATTTACATTTAACGGAAAATTTTGAAGAGTAGTTTGTGCTACCCTATGCAACATCGTAAATCCTCCCCTTATATGAGTTGACGGATTATGAATAAACGGGCTTTGAAAAAAAAATAATTAGAATTATTATTACTTTTTAATCCATGTACAACAACGACAACAAATTCCATGAATGGAGATACGAGAGATAGATGTCAACAATAATGCGTTAAGAATGACATGAACAAAAACTGAGGGCATGCAAATGAAGCAAAATGAGACAATAAGTCAACGTGATCAATAGTATTACCTGGGTCGGTCGATACAGTTTTTAGGCCCCGGGCAAGAGAAAAAATAAGCCCCCCTTAAAAAACAAATTTCACAAAATCCATTTATTCATGAAAAGTAATTCTTCATAACATTTTAAATGCAAAATTGCCAATAACATTATAAAAAATTAGTAGTAAAAAGTAACGAAACAAAAACATTTTATTGATAGAGCTGCCTTTGTTATTCGTTTCTCTACCTTTTCCTTGAAACTTCAAAAATCACTTAACAACAACTAAACAAATAAAAAGCAACAAACTTAAATCCAAATAAAACTATATGCAAATGAAAAACGATAGACCTAGATTGGCATATTCATTATCAAAACTAACAAAATGAGAAATAAAATGTCATTGGACATATCACTTAATAACAATCTATGAAATAATACAAACCAGTCAATAGATTGTGCATTCTTTATATAGATACAATTGTGTTTAACTGGTGTTCGATTTGCTTAATTTAGTCATTAATGAAAATGTTTCACAAATCATAATACTATATTTTCACTTATATGATGAGTTATTCGATAATTCGGTCCTTAAAAATAACATCAATTCTAGATAAATATTAAAACCAATTCATATTTTCAACAAAAAAAAAAATCATAACTTAGCTAACACACGTTAGGTTGCCATTCATATTAAAAATAAAATTAGTTCACATGTTCAATTTTAATAATCCAAAATTAAGGTATATTCCAATATCAAAACAATGATCCAAAACCTAAGCTGAATTATATCATAAAATTTTAATTTCTTTCCATTATGTCCATATGGATGGACAACCCTTAGAAACAAAAATCATTCATTTTTTCGGGATGGACAACACAAGCCAGGTTCCAAGAAGTGATGATTTTGTGCATGATTTAACACTTACAAACAACAGTCATTCATTTTTTCCATTAGTACCTTAGGGATTGACAACATTTGAAGGGGTGGTGTCACAACTAGCATTTTTGGCTAGGAAATTCTGTTTATATGTAATCAATTCTTGATGTATCTTGTAACTTCAAATATAAGGATATACATATTTCTCATTCAAAAACAACTATTCGAATCAAAACTCACTCATGAAACCCTAAACCTAATTCAATGCACTATGCTCACTCTATTTTAGGTTGTAACCCTAATTTCCTAGTTCAAATATATTTTTGGGCCGGAAATCATTTATTGGGCCTAATGGGCCAATAAACTCACAACTTGATTATTTTGGGCTAAGAATCCTTATATGGGCCCTAATTGGACCCACATTTATTAAACTATAACATTTTGAGCCATAAGACTTTTTATGGGCCTTATTGGACCTAAAATGTCTCACTTCATTTTCATAAGCCTTATTGGGCCGTAAATAATCTTCATGGGCCTCATTGGGCCGAAAATCCAATTCCTTTATCATTTTGGGCCGTAAACCCTCATATGGGCCCAATGGGCCGAAAACTTTCATAAAGGGCCTTATAATTTCGAGTATTATCAAAACTAGCCCAAACACTTCTTTTATTTATTTATTTATTTCTTTCTCATCCTC